GTATATTGTATATTGTATATTGTATATTGTATATTGTATATTGTATATTGTATATTGTATATTGTATATTGTATATTGTATATTGTATATTGTATATTATATTATATTATATTATATTATATTATATTATATTATATTACTCTGTCTAACGCCAGATGATTTTACTTGTCAAGGGGAGAGTGCTGGCACTTAATGGGTTAACTGGCCTATCTGCCCATATGTCTAGTTAACTGGCCTATCTGCCCATGTGTCTAGTTAACCCATTGAGTCGCATTGCACCCTGATGCACCCTACTTTTATTAGTATTTTACTCTGTCTAACGCCAGACGATTTTACTCGTCAAGGGGAGAGCGCTGGCGCTTAATGGGTTAAGGTAGTAATAAAACCACTCCTGAAGCACAGCAGATGTGTAGATAAACTGTCATACTTGATGTCAGAATCAGATTGATGTTTTTATACCACAAAGGCTTGATCGACCTTACTTATACAAAAAATAACAAACATTGAATATAAAAATATATTATTTTACACTGACAAATTTTAACTAATTGTAAAAACCTCTACAAAACCTCTCTTGTGCTAATGGAAATGTAAAATGTTGCTTATGATCAATTCCTTGACTGTCTAGATGATCTTTATATTATATATTAAATTAATCTATTTATTTTTGCATAAACTATGACATTTCCTGCAAAACCAATATTTTGCATTTGGTGCATTCTTCAGTGTCACACATTCAAAATGAAACCAATTTAAACAACTGTCACATGACACACAATCTTCTTCGACATCACATTTGCACACATTGCAAAGCCAAGTTGGATCTTGTCTCACTTGTGCAATTATCTGGTTAACCAATAACCAGGCATCTTTGTTGAAGTAAGGTCTGAGCCTTGACACATTCACATTTTCATCGATTAAACCAGGGTGCACCTTTTCTGGTCGGACTTCAACAGCAGTTTCGTCGATAATATCACCACTCAAAGCTGAAGTAACATCATCTTTTGACAATAACCATGACAACATAACTAAGCATATAAAAATAATAATTATTAATATTTTACAAACTAGTTTAGTTCATAGATATTTTTACTGTTATAATACTATTTTTTTTGTCCCAATCTCTTACCTTTATCTTTATCAGTAGCCTGCTTTTTCATAAAAGGTGTTGGCTTATCCTTTCCAGAACTCTTCTTCTCCTTCCTTTTTCTTGGTATTCCAATGACTGTTAGGTCAGCTCCTTTTGGACGTCCACGTTTGGGCATAACAGGAGGGATTTTGATCTGACTACAAACTGCTGGAAAAGTACAACATATGTATCTTGCTGACCTTTTCTTTGTGAAAGTGGAGCACATTGCATGTGTGAAAAAGATGCAAACCTACTGTACCTTGTGGTTGAGTTGTATTCACATCAGCTAATGGGACACTCTTGTCTGGTTGGATTTCTACGTTTTCTAAAAATGGAAAAACCTGTTTAATTATATGTCCACCCACTCATTGTTTTTGTTTTACCAATGTTGGAGTGATGCTGTGATTCAGTAATGCTTAACTGTGTTACTTCTGAATGAGATATTGGACTGGTTATCACAACTTCTTCTGTATGGTTTTGTTGGTTATCTAGAAAAAATGTAGACAATGTTACAATCTCCTCGTTTCTATGGTTTTCATATGTATCATATGAAATATTGATTCTTTAATTAAATGTATTAAAACAAGTGGAAACAAGGCCATAACAAGCGTTCTTGTCTCCACAGTCTTGTGTTTGGTTCTTGGTAAAAATTATAGAATGTATTGCAATGGATTTTAGAACCTAGCTTGCTGCCACTATTAAATTTGTATGTTTATATGGAATGTATCAGGACATCTGGTTGGCTCACATTAAAGTGCAACTCTCAGAAGGTAAGATATATGATTTACTCCCAGAATTTTGTGAGTAAATCTGTTTACTAGCGACCAGGGAATATGGGCTATGGCCATTGTTAGAATTAGTATAAACACAAGCTAGAATCCTTCTTAATACTGGCTTTCAATGACAGTATTATATAATTTTATATAATGCCTATAAAATATAATATAAAACAAAGCTCAACTACAAAGCCTTAAAGGTTACACTAGGAAAACAGTACCTATAAATAGAGTACAAACCTTTAAAAAAACTATAACCACGATCGGTATTAATACAGAAACAGTTTCTTGCCAAAATCTTCGATCTATCGTATATAAAATAAACACCACTCTCATCGACGCCATGTTCGAAAAAAAAGACGGAAATTGTACGCCTAAATTCGCTACTTTCCCAAAAGGCACTGGAAACTAATAACTTTTTGACCCAGTCATTAACTCACCTGAGACTGATGTACATGTCAATTGTGAGAACAAAATTGGAATGTGCGAGTTGCGTTTGGGATCCCCATACGCAAAAAGATGAGTACAACGTTGAGAAAGTCCAAAGAAAAGCAGCTCGGTTTTGCTTACGTAACTATAAACCAATGGAAAGTGTCACTGGTATGCTAAAGGATGTTGGGTGGGATACATTAGGAATCAGAAGGAAAAAAGCGAGATTGACAATGATGTATAAAATGTCTCACAACCTATTGGATATGAACTTGGAAGATCATCTGATTCCCCACACTGAAACACAGACACGCGGTAGTCATTATTTTAAATTCAGAGTCCCGAGGATCAAAAAAGATGTTTACAAATTTTCTTTTTTCACTAAAACAATAAAGGAATGGAACGAGTTACCTGAAAATGTAGTTATTTCGGCCTCTGTGGAACATTTTAAATCGAACGGGCCGGGCCGGATAGGGGCGAATCCAGCTAAAAATCAGACTGTAGCATAATCCCAAAACGAGGAGGCACCACGTAATCTAGGGGGGTCCGGGGGCATGCCTCCCTGGAAAATTTTTGAAATTTCAACCCCTGAAACACCATTTCCTGCATTCTGAGCATCGAATTCTGTTCTAAAATTTGAACTTAATAAGGCCATATTTTAGACAAAAAGTAATACAAAAACACGTAAAGGCAGTAAAATGGTTAAACGACATACCAAATCATACCAGATCTACATTCTTAACTACTGTATGCAAAGTTTAAGACCAGCCTTCCTCCCCATATTAATATGTAATTTAATATCATACCGCATACTGTGTAACATATATAAAGGCAATTACAATCAATGCATAAAATCAATGGGCAGAACGATATATAACGCAAACAGACACATTTATATGCTGAAAGAAACCTTTGGAATAACAGAGATTCAACCACTTAAATACACAAGCCAAATTTCAAGGTTTTGCTTGCATTTTTCAGTTACGGTTCGCTTGTATATTTCGGTAATTCAGTAACGTACCCTATCTCTCAATCCGAAGCTTTGTGTTGTTATCATTTATTGTGTGGAAAGTTTGTATCGCGCGGCGTAAATATCGGACGCGCAATTTCGACGCTTTCTATATATTTACTATTAAATTTTCGAAATCTCCGGCGCGCAATTTCCAAACACTGGCACGGCGCGCTTACATTTATATTCTGTTTATTAATATATTCAAATATTCATAAGCTTACCTGACCCGAACGTGGTCCAACGAGCGCGCTCTTTCACCGTTTCGAATTGTAATTTCGAAAAATCACACAAAAATACCTCGCGATCTTTCAGGCGATCGCCCTTAACTTTGCTCCCGATGGCATCCTCACATAGCGCTTTAGTCTACGTAGTTTTTCTTCGAAAGAAATTGTCTCGGTAAAAGCGCAAACAAATATAGCCAAATAACATCGCTCTAAAGTTCCTATCAAATTGCGCAACTGTGGCTGACTGTAGCGCATTGCAGCACTGTGATTGGTTTGCTTCATCTGACTGTAGCAAAAATGCTAAATTTAATAACTCGTCCCCCCGCTGACTGTAGCATTTTGACGTAAGACCCCCAGTTGACTGTAGCATTTTGACGTCATAAATTGCTATATTTAGACCACTTTTCTGAACGCTGTTTGAACGATGTTTAAAAAATTTAGGGGATTTCCCCTAAAGGCGGGCGTTGTTTCGGGTAAAATTTAGGTTAATATGAGCGCGTAAAAACGTAACTTAATATTCGTAGCTCACAAAAAACGTACGAAGATGATCGAAGATGCGGAAGTTAATTTTTTAAGATAGAGAAACTGGAAAACTTCTATAAGGAATTTTTACTATCACCACATTCAGTATTAAAAATTTTTTTTCACGAAAATCTGACTGTAGCATTTGCTACAGTTGCTACAGTCTGGATCCGCCCCTCAACCTTAATGATTTTTTAATGTCTGTTTAAATAATAATGGATTTTAATGTTGATAACAAGTAATTTTAATAAATTTAAATAGTTGGTGCAGATGTCCGTAATGGATTTTACCGACTCAACATATGTAGATGTAGATAATGCACGTGGGGAATTTTGAGAGAATACAAGAGAAGCGTGTAAAACACGAGGCGTAGCCGAGTGTTTTACACGCTTCTCGAGTATTTTCCAAAGTTTAAGTATACCATAATATTATATTAATTTAAGTATACCAACAGTAACAGAAATTGAAGTTTTAGAATTGATTAGATCACTGCCATCGCATGTAGCAACTGGACATGACGGTTTGAGTTCTCATCTGTTGAAAATTATTGCGCCAGCAATTGCACCCTGTCTAACCAAGATATTAAACTGCAGTCTAATCAATGGCACAGTGCCAACTGAATTGAAATTAGCCCGAGTTACATCAATTCACAAACAAGGAATCAAAGCCAATCCCGACAATTACAGGCCTATATCAGTTCTTTCTGTTCTGTCGAAGATACTTGAGAAACATGTTTGTAAACATCTTATGACTTACTTCACAGAACATGGCTTACTACATAAGTACCAATCAGGTTTTCGTACTAACCATTCTTGCAAAACTATTCTTCTCAAATTAACAGATGACTGGCTCGAAGCAATGGACAAAGGACTCTTCACGGGAGTAGTTATGATCGACCTGCGCAAAGCTTTTGATGTAGTGGATCATGCATTGCTACTAAGGGGCTGTTTATATGAGTCGAGCCAGCTCGGGTAACCGAGCTAGCTCGCTTTAGGCGGGATCCCGTTTTTGTTAATATTTCCTACTAAATTTCATGTTGCGTTTATATGAAAACCGAGCTGGCCCGCCTAACCGAGGTCCCGCTTCGTGTGACGTCCCGAGACCTCGGGTAAACGGGCTGGGTAGTTTTCCATATAAACGCAACAGGGAGGGCTAGCCCTCCCAACCTCGTACCCAGGGCTAGTCGCGAATTGATGGCAGCGACGTAGCCCTGGTAAACGCTGGTCGCGTGTCCGGCAAATACTCTCGCAAAGATTCTTGGAGTATTAGCCTGCGAGCGGGCTTTATGGAAATAAAGACAGGGGGGCGACGAAAAGTTCACGAATATAACTTGAATTGCGGCGGATTATTTATATTCTTTTATTTTTTGTTGGAATCTTTCTTTTTTTATATATTACGTTTATATATTACGTCGAATGTACATCAATCTTATTATCTTCTTTATATCGCATCATATAAATCGCCGAGGAGGCGATGACGCGATGTTTCAAACTATATTAAAATTCGAAGGACAATGAAGCCTGAACCTCGTACGTACTATTTGTGATGATTTCCATCAAGTAAAAGGTACAGTGCGAATTAAATTTGAAAATGTCTAGAAGTATTTTATTGTTACAAATTATGTAGCAAATTCCCATGAGTTTAACACTCTTGAGAATATGGCGGCAAATATGCATGCGGTTGCCTTTTAATTTGTTACAGTACTAGCTCTACAAATATATATTCCGAAAGCTATTATATATTTTAGCTGAATTTGTAGTTTAAATATTGAGAAACACATGGGCAGACTGATAAATAATTCTCAGACTCTCAGTAAAGTTCTACTCTCACATGATTATTATTAGCAATATTGATTTATCGCTGCGAGAAACGTGTTTACAAACTACAGTAACTACAGTCTACGGCAGTATTAAACTTCAAATGCTTAATTTAATGTTTTTATTTAATGTTTAATGCAAGCAGTCAATGAAATTATTTAAATGAGCCATTAATAACAGAGTGGCCAGGTTGACAAAGCAAAAATCGGATGAACAATCAAGGACTTGAACTGCTAGGATATTTATAGTCAAACATCAGTTTCAGCATTATTTAATGTTAGTGAGTTAATGAGTATTTTTAATATCCATGACAACTGCAGCTGGTCAGAGACAGCTCAGAGATTTTTTAGGGAAACGGTTTAGCACCCCATTGTAAAAACCTGCCCCCGAATCCCAAAATTTCATTATTTTGTTTCCTTGCCCCTACATTTATACCTTTTGTGCCTTCGAGATCTTATAAAAAAGTGCAACTCTGCAGTGTGGCTTGTAACCTTGTTGTCATAATTATTTTCTGAAGACTTTAAATTTCTACTCTAACACCTGACAGAGATGGGGGCCATTTGCATGTACAGGAAGAAATTTTTTCTTCATCTATTGCCCCCTTACCTTTCACCAAATTTTTAAATTAAATTTATTGAATAATTTTGAAGTTTTCTAGATTATTGAAAAGAAATTTATGGGTACAAGAAATGGGGGCAGAATCAGTTA